CAGGACTAAGAGCATGGCTGGGTACTTGCTTGGATATGTGTGGAGCCCTGGGCTGTACCCTTAGCAACAACAACGACAACAACAACGACAACAACACACACACACACACACACACACACCCCTATAAAACAAACACTAACATTGAGGACCCCTACCAAGTCCTGGGTGTATCACTTAAATCTTGCAGTCACTAGGCTGAGAGCCAAAGAAGAAACTCAACAATTGAGTGTAGGGAACAGCAAATGACACCATGAACAGATGCTGTGGTCTGCTCAGCCCTTGGGGAGATTCCACATGATTCCGGACATGCTAAACTGAGTCCCCCCGCACTGTGCGGAGAACTGGGCTGCCATAACTGGGACCCTGCACTAACATCCTGTCCCCAGACCCTCAAACTGCAGTCAGAACCTGTGTGCCCCCAAAAGCCTGCAGGACCAGCTATACCTCCAAGGAAAGTGTGTAGAAATTTTCTATTCATGTCCTCGGAAATCTGGGCAGCTAGTAGGCTGGGAGGATTCACAGTAGGAAGCGGGGGCATGATCTTAATTGGACTGAATGTATTAATGCAAAAGTGCCTATTGGTAGCTCTGGTTTGGGGTGCTGGCTTCCTTAGCTGGGGTGATTCTGACTGTTCCCTCACTGGATTTGGTGGGCAGATAAGCCAAAGTGGTAGCCACACTGTGGAAATGACAGAAGCATAGCATGCGATAGGGAGACGGGCACTGGATGGATGATATATGAATGGACAGATGAATGGTTGGATGGATAAATGAATAACATATGGATGGATAGATGGATGCATGCATACATGCATGAATGGTTGGAAGACTGGATGATAAATGAATGGGTCGATGGATAGAGAAATGCAGACTTGGAGAGAGTTGATGGCTAGATATGTCAAGGCATAATCCCAATTCAACATAATCCCAATCCCTGCTTCCAATCAAGGAAGATATTGAGTTGTGCATAGAATTAGCTGAGAAGCTGGAGTATCTATAGTTAGTGGTGAGCTCAATTTCCCAGCCATCTACAGAGTATGTGACAACTAGCCAGATAAGCAGAAACTTGTGACAGACATATCACAATTCTTTTTGTTCGCTCATCCAATGAGTTTGTTGAGCACCTATTATGGTGGTTTTTTTTTTTTTTTTTTTTTTTTTCGGAACCGGGGATTGAACTCAGATGCCTGAGTTTGCCAGTCAAGCACTTATCCTACTGAGCCATCTCCCCAGCCCCGAGCACCTATCATGTACCAGGTGCTTTCTGGGCTCTGGAAACAGAACAGGAAACAAAGTCAGCCCATCATGAGTGTCCCTGTGGGGAGACATGGTAGACAAGGTGTGCTGTGCTGCATATAAAGCCAAGTGAGGACATGAGCTAAGGAGAGGGCACAGCAGGACGCTGGGGGGTGTTGCACTCTGAAAGTGCAGAGCTACGCACAGAGCCTGAAGTAAGGGCAGTGTCACCAGCCTCCTGAGGTTTCTTTTGCAGCATTCAGGTAGAAACTGCAAGTCAGCAAAGCTCAGCTCTGCTAGCATTTCTGGGCTTTGTGTGCCAGTGGCCCTCAGCCCTTAGCATTACATCTCTGATACCTCATGCTGCAAGTCAACAGCATCAATGCCCGATGCCACTGGTCATTGCCACTGCTGGCCGTTGCAGTTATCCAACTCCACCAGTAACTGGCCTCTGATGCTGTGGGCAGTGTGCCCACCCCACCTGCTGCTGGTCTCTGTCTTGGATCGTCATTGGCCCCTGATCCCTGGAGCTCTTCCGGGACCAGCGACCTGTAGAGTTCATAGCTCTTCTAGGGCCGGCCAAATAGCTCAGCAGATTAAAGCACCTGCAAGCAGGCACAGGGGTCGGGGGTTCGATCCCCAGGCCTGCTGTGCCAGCCCCGCCCCTGGGGTGCTCTGAGACAGCAATTGAGACTGGGTGTGGTGGTGCGTACCTATAATACCAGCACTTGGGAGACTGTAAACAGGCAGATCATTATGAGCCTGATCTAGTAGTGAGACCCTGAACACCCTGTACACCCTTCCCTAAAATACAAAAATAAAATAAAATTAAAATTAAAAAAAAAACGGGGCTGGTGAGATGGCTCAGTGGTCTAAAGCACCTACTTAGAAAAGCTTAGCACAGGGGCTGCGGTTCAATCCCCCAGCACCACATGCCAGCCAGCCCCGCCCCCTGGTGGGCTGAGCTGGCCACACACACACACACACACACACACACACATAAATAAAAAATAAAAAAGCTATTTGGGGCTGGAGAGATGGCTCAGTAGAATAAGTGCTTCCCTGGCAAGCGCAAGGGTCTGAGTTCAATCCCTGATTCTGAAAAAAAAAAAAAAAAAGAGTTCATAATTCTTCTGAAAGCAACCACTCCGTCCATACTACTCAAGATACAAACCTTAAGTAGTATAGAATTGCACAACCGTCCAAGCCCATCCTATGCAAGAAATCAATGCGATTTACCAGAGTGAGGCTCTTTTTGAACAAGACCTATGCTGCGACACAAGAACTTTAACAGAACAAACGAGCCATCCAAGAATGAGAAGCCTGGGAACAGCACCACTTACATAGCAGCAGGTCTGCGCTTGGTCCACGTTCAAGCCTCTGACTGGTCCAAATTCAAGCCTGCCAATTGGTCTGAGTTGGTCTAAGTACAAGGTTTCTGATTGAAGCCTATTGATTGATTTAAATTCAGTTCTGCTGAGCCAAATTTCAAGCTTTCTGCAGTGAGGGCAGACAAATACTGGAACAGGTGTGAGGCCTCCCAGATAGTTGCTGCTGTCACCCAGGTAGCTGCACCCAACCCCTGGGGACTGCTTGATTGACAGCTGTTGCACCACCTCAAAAAGTAAAGGGTCAAAAAGTACTGGGAAATCTCAGCACTAGCTGTGTTAAACAGCTTATTGGGGTTGGAGATGGTTGGGGATGTTAATAACGGCCCAGATCCCTCCCTGAGCAGTAGGAGGCAGTTTCCCCTTAACTTTTTCAGAGGGAAGGTAGCTTCCCCCTCCCCATCACTTTTTCAGAGGTGGCTGCATCTAAAGTGGAGATGGGGGGCCTGCGGTATAGCTCAGTGGACTAAGCACTTCCTTAGGTAAACGTAGGTGCCAGGGTTTGATCCGTCACTTCATAGGGCACTGGCCCTGACCCCGGGTGTGCTGAGCCAGCAATAGAGTCCACGAGTGGAGGCACATGCCTGTAATCCCAGCACTAGGGAGGCAGAAAACAGGATCAGCTGTGTAGTGAGACCCTGCGCGTGCACCCACCCCCCCCCAAAAAAAAAAACCCTTCAAGTGGGGGCAGGGCACCGTGACTGACAACCAATAATCCAGGACACCAAACAAGGCAAGTTGTCCCAGTTCATCCTTGGGGGAGTACGTAGGAGTGAAGGAAACGGGGGGAGGTGCTGTAAACTGTCTGCTCAACCACACCCCCCTCTAGCTGATACAGGAAAGGGGTGTTGGTCCCCCACATCTCATCTGCCTCAGCAAGCTGAGCTGAGACCATGTCACCGAAGAGCAGCAAACCTCCCAGGATCAACCTGGGTCTGTGGACAGGTGCTGGGATCCAGATATAAAGCTGGAAACACCAGAGAGGGGGTCAGAAGGGGCGGGATTCATTCACTCAGCACCTGGGTCCGTTAAGCCTGCCCCCGTCCCTTGCCCTTTGTCTTCTGCACTCATCCCTTAAAACAAGTTTGCTGAGTTCATGGGTATTTTCACTTCATTAGCAGGAAGTGTCCATTAAGCTGTGGCCTTAGGGAGGCCGCCCATGCTGGGCCTCCAGAGGTCAGTCACGCTGCCTGGTTGAGAGGAGTTCCCACCACGACGCTCCAGTGCTGCCGCCTGAGATGGCCAGGGACAAGGGCGGAGGCAGGTGGCTGCGCTGGGAGGTTACTGCAGCTGTCTGTGAAACAGGCCAGCTGTTGGCAGCTTCCAAAATGCCACAAGCACTGGGCCCCCACGCCCCCACCTCCTCACCCCACAGGGGGTCTCTGGGCCCTGGGAACCCAGTATGAGAACTGGGGCCGCAGAACAGGGAACAGGACTGCAGACAGGATGGCTCCAGGAGGCAGGCAGGTAGGCATTTGCAGGTAACTCTTGGATCAGCACCACCTACCAGCAGGGTGGACGTGGCCTCCTCCAATGGGAATCCAAGATGGATTTAAAACAAGTTGCTATGAAAATCTCTGACGACAACAAGCACATTGGCAGAGCCTCAACATGGACAGTGAATCCCGTCCAGCAGTCAGTCACAGGAGCCCAGTGTCAGTCTAACCTCAACCATGTGGCAACCGGCTCATCCCCGAAGTGTCACACACTTCCAGTGACAGGGAGCTCGCTGCCTCCAGAGACAAAATGGTCTCAGCGTTTGGGAGACTCCCGGCCTCTTGGGTTCCCTGACAGCCACGTCTACAGCACAGACGCAACCCAGAACGCATCAGTGTCTTTGCTATGCGCTGGTACCCAGGCCTGTGTGAGCGACAGACGGTGCAGTGGAGCTGGGGTTCAGCTCACTGGTACACTACGCTTAGCATGCGTGGTGCCAGGGTTCAACTTCCACTGCTGCAAAAACAAGTGCAAAGCAGCACGGCAGCCCCAGGCCCAAGGTTCAGCTGCTAAGGGAGCCCGCAGCCCTGTGCACTTTAGCCCGGCTCAGTTACTGTCTGAACAGGGGCAGTCTAAGCCTGGGGTGTCCAGAGATGCTATTGGGTGGAGATGGGACCCCCTCGGCTTCACCGAAGCCGCCTCCGGGGAAGCCCAGGCGCATGTGCGCATGCCTATGAGTGCATGTGCACGTGCGCTCGTCCCCGAACCTCCAGAGCGAGGAGAACACGCAGCAAGCTGTCGGCGCATGCTGCCAAAGCGGAAAGGTTAATTGTCACGCGCGATGCCAACAGACAGACCTCCGGCAGATTCATTTGGATTTTGTTTTGTGGTTATTTTTTTTTTTTACAACTTTAAATACGGAATATAAATAAATTTTACATTTAAAAAATAAAAGGAAAGCCCCCAAAAATATAATCACCGACTTTACAAACTGAAGGAAGCAGATCTTGGGGAGGGAGTGCAAAGGAGGGGGAGGAGCTCAGACCCCACCCGAGGGGCCCGGGCTCTTTTTTCCTTTTCTCCTCTCCCCTACCCACTGCTGTAGTCCTAGGGCGAACCAGCAGGTAGGACCCCAAGAACCAAAGGGGAAGGAGGGGGCAGGGCAAGAGGGGCTTCCCCTCCCAGACCTTGACCTGGGCTTCTCACATCTGCCCAGAAGGGAACAGCAGGAGCTGAGGCCTGGGACCTGGAGGCCCACATTCCACTGCCTCACCCCTGTCTCACTGCTCCACACTGAAGGCAAGGACAGGGACACAGCCAATCCACGGAGCCTTTGTGTCCATTAGGAAAAGAATCCCTTTCCTCCGACACTTGACCTACATCGGCAGAAACCGTCAGAATAAATAGACAAATGGGTCCTAGGGAGGGCGTGAAGAGTGCTCCCTGCATGCAGTGCCCCTGCGCGGTCCACACTCTGTACCACCTTACATGGCAGTCTTGGCTGGGCTGGCATCTGATGGGCAGGCATCCTACCACCCTGGCCTCTGGTCTTCTGTCCTAGGGAAAGATGCCTGGGGTCTCAATGAGGGATCTGAAAGCCCATTGGTAGAACAGACTTAAAGGCCAGGAGGAGCGGAAGATGCAGGGTGGAGGTAGAGAAATGAAAAGAAATACAGGAGGACATGAACTGGGGGGATGGGGGAGGCAGGGGTGCCCAGGTCGCCATCTGTAATTCGCCCGAAGAGCAAACTTCATCTGTGACCTGCTGGGGGGCGCATGGGCACCAGCCCCAGCCAGGCGAGTCCGTCTGGAGGATATCACGTAGAGAAAGCAGAGAATGCAGAGCTGATGGGAGGACATGGCTTCTGGGCGCCATGAGCGGGGCTTCCCCGGCCCGTGCTCCCCATGTGGTCACAGCCACGGGACGAGGACAGGCACCAGTCTGCCTGGAGGTGTTGTGCAGGTCCCTTTGGAGCTGGTCGGCTCCTCTGCAGCGCTCCAGGGGCCAGCTGTTGGGGAGGCCCCCATCTCACCAGTTGCTCTGCTCCTGTGCCTCTTCTTGGGGCTCAGGGAGGAAGGAGCGATGGATCTGAGTTCAGTTTCCTCCTCTGGCCACAGGACAGGGCTGCTGGTGGGCAAGGACAGACACGTGGAGGGGACAGATGCGTTGAGGGCGGGGAAGCACCATTGGCCGTCCGAATCAGGCACTGAGACAGACGAATGAGGGGGGCGACATTATCACTCCAAGGACCCCATGGGGGCAATACAGCGAATACCATATTAAATAACCCTGTGGGCAGAGCAGAGGGACATAGGGTCAGAGATGGCCAAGGGTTCTGGGCAGATCCACACCAAGGCCACAGGCCAGGCCAGAGAGTTGGCACCAGGCAGCCCATGATGACTGCCATGTGCTCGGGCACAGCAACGTGACACCCCAACTGCTCTTGCTTGGGCTAAGCTGGGGTGTAGCCAGCCTGGGTCTCCAGAGCCTACAGCCTCCCCAGCTCCGCCACCAGTCAAGGGAAGAGAAACCTGGGGCCCCAAGCCCGTTTTCCCTCCAGGCCTTACCTGCCCGCATCCTCCGGCCGCCACCCCTATGCTCCAAGGGTCTCTTTCAGTGCCTCCTTGTCGTGCGTGTGCTTGAATTTGCGGTGCTTCCCCTTGGGGGGCCTGCGGACTCGAATTGTCCGGATGGCTACCCGAGTTTGGGGTGTCCTGGCTGCTCGAGAAAGAGACAGCTTGTCAGCATGTGGACGACTGTGGGTTCCATTTCTCTTCACCACAGTCTACTGCAACCTGAGCTAAGGAAAGGGACAGCAGAGAAGTCGGGGACCAGATCACTAGGGCTCTCATCCCAGCTCCACTGTTCACCAGCTATGTGAGCCTATGAAGAATTACTGAGTCTCCTCATGCCTCAGTCTTTCCATCTGCGAGATGGGTCATAAGATGGCCCATATCACAGGATTGGTGCAAGAAACACATGCTAACAAAGTACTTTGGGCAGTGCCTGACAGGGTGGTTTAAACATGGCTTCCAATCTGTTGTCCTGATCCACAGACAGATGGAGTTTACTTCCTGCCCTCTAAACCTGGTCTGCACTCCAGTTGTGTGAGGACAGGAGGAGGCAGAGGTGGTACCACCTCCACTCCAGGTAGGAACCTTCCAGAGAGAACCAGAGGATCTAAGAGGTCGACACCGACACAGTATATGGGCCACGTGGCTGAGCCTCAGCCCGGCCATAGGCAGCACACCAAGTGGCTGATGCCCTCACCACTAAGCTGGCTTGACTCCACCTCGCCCTACTGGTTAAATGTGACTTCCCAGTTACGGTGTGAGCTCAGTGATTCATTTCCAGCGTGTCCATTTGAAGCTGTCCGTGATCAGCCCCTTGGCGACAGGACAGAAGCAAGGATGGGACAGAGACCAAGGAAGCAGCCCCGCCTTTAGGCTTGTTAATAAGAGGTGAAGGCAAAAGGGCGCCTAACAGAAAGGCATCAACAATCAAGACTGTCCCTCATTTGAGGTTTGTTTGGGTTTTTGGTTTTTTTTTTTTGGCAGAACTGGGGATTGAATTCAAGCCCTTGCGCTTGCCATGCAAGTGCTTATTCTACAGAGCCATCTCCCTGGCCCCTTGAGTTTTTAAAATGTTCACCTACAAGGTCCTGAGTTCGATCCCCAGTACTGCAAAAATAAATAAAATAAAATGTTCACTTAATTGTGTTCACTTAGTAATTGATCCTTAGGAGACATGCTTAAGGAAGAAAAGGCCCGAACAGCCCAGAACTTGTTTGTCACTACACAGCCTCAGTTATCAGCTGGCCAGGCTTCCTCCTGTCCCTTAACCTCGGCTCCAGGCCCTCCCTTACCACCCAGAAGGATGGACCTGCAAACCTCACTGCAGTGCCAAGTGCCAAAGTCTTGAAGCACATGTATGGGCTGGGCACAGGCCGTCACCCAGCACTCTGGGAGGACTGCAAGTTAGGGCCCAGCCTGAGTGCCTAAGCAACCTAGTGAGGCCCTAAGGGGCCAAGAAAGCAGCTCAGCACAAGGGGCAGGAACTCAATGCCCAGTGCTGGGGAGAAAAAAAACCCAAAAAACTAGGACAATGCAGGTGAGAGCCACCGAGCCAAAAGCAGAGCTGCAAGATACCAGGACTGGCCACATACCTACCTGGGCAGGGCCTGGGACAGGAGCTCATTGAGTCTTGGCCTCAGGCACCTGCTGTGCAAGGCGTACTGAGTCAGACCAACTCTACCTGGGAACTCCAGTCCCATTTGGCCCTCTGCTGAATGTGTGAACCCCTTCAGTCACCTTCCAGCTGCAGGGGTGTCTAACTTTGCTTGCACACCTCCACTGACAGGGAGCTCACTGCCCCCCAAGTCCATTATGGAGGCTGACCTGATCACCAGCTCTTCCATCCTAGTTCCCCACTTAAGGCCACAAACGATGAAGTTGGGTCCTCATCCCCAGAGCAAGTTGTCTAATATCTGAAACTGACGTGCACAGAGCCTTCTCTCATCCTGATCTTTCCACACACTTGTTCCCCCAAGCAGGGGGCTGTGGTGGGCACACTAAGAACAGGGCCCTTTTTCTCCTCTAGGAGCAGGCAGCTTCAGAGCTAAGGCCCAGAGGATGGACAAGAGGGAGCCAGGCTCAGGAAATGTTGAGCAGATGTGGTCTGGAGACCAGGCCCTGGGGCAGGAATTCACTCAGCCACTCAAGGACACAGCCCAGCGAGGATGGCATCAGTTAAGGGGACCAGCCCAGTTGCTGTCCCAGTCAGAAAGCCAGCCTGCTGGGGTGGGGGGGGAGTCTAGATTGACCCATTGGGGCTCCCAGCTGCTAGAAGAGGAAGGGGTTGAGCAATTCAGAACGACTCCGGGGGAAGGCAGTTACCTCGCTGCTCCCGGGAATTGCCCTGGCTTCGGGTCACAGGCCGAGCAGACACTACCGTCTCACACTTGCAGGCCAGGTGGTCTTCCAAGGTCACCGTGGCCTTCTTAAAGGCTGGCTTTCCCCGGACGATCTCAATCTTCCTCACCTGGAGGAGGACAGAACACAAACCTCTGTAGAGACGCAGGCCTGTGCTGGCCGAAGCACAGCTTTCCTCGAAAGCCCAGAGGCAGCCCGCTCACTACTGCTGGGCCTAAACAATAGCAGGGCCTTGCCCTCTGCCCCTCTCGAGCTTTTCCATCAAAACAAGCCCTCCAACCTGGCCTCTGGCTTTGCTGCAGCCCCCATGGGCCCCCAGAGAGCAAGAAAGGCATTTCCGGGTTGTGCATGGGGCCTGCGGTGTCCTCATTCCTGGAACGCCAGCGGCCAAGGCCAAGGGCTGTGGCAGAAGCCGCTTGCAGTTGGAAAGGAGGGGGGCCTTTATCTAGGAGTGTGACAGGAAAGTGAGGTCAGGTGTTTGTCCCTCTGTGGAGCTGGAAGCCTTGGGGACAAGTGATACTGTCCGTGGCAGTGGATGGCCAGCTGGAGAGGGATATTTGTAATGTCACACACAGGACCCAGGCCAGGGACGGAAGGTGGGCAGGGTGCAGGGCACAGGCCACCGGCCATGCGTGGCCAAGCAGGTGATGCGTTTGGCCAGGGCCAGCACTGAGCCCACAGTGTGGACCCAGCAGTGCAGCCAGCCCATATGGGTGCAGCGACCTTCGGGAGCAGAAACCTGTCCATCTGATCAGAAGACATACCCAGCCCTCTGTGTGCCTGGGGCTCCCTGGCACGGACAGCTTTGGGACCAACCTCCATGTGCCTACTTCCTCCAAGAAAGAGGCAACCTGGACTAACCATTTGCTAGGGTAGGGGTGGGGCAGTCCTGGCTTTGAGTATTAGGCACCCAGAGGGTCCTTGAAGGCGCAGCTCACCAAGGTGACACAAGCAGGTGGCAGCATGCAGGATCCTGCTTGAATCTTTCTCTGAAAGCCCCAGATATTGGGGAGCTGTCCGGGGCATTTGAGGTGTCAGATACTGGCAGATTCCTCAAGGGGCATCTTGGGATTTCACCCATGGGAAGAGTGTGGCAATGCCCCATCTTGCCCGAGGTGGAAAAAACTCTGCCTGTGGCTGTCAATGACCAGAACCTGGGCCACCCTGGAAGGCACAGCCCGGGACACCCCCTCACACACACACACAGACACTGAAGCTGGGGGACAGGGCCTCGCACCTGCACGGGCCGCAGCTGCACCTGAGTGGGTCGGCACTGCACATTGCGGTTGTTGCAGCAGCCGGAGCAGCGCTGCACCTCCACGCAGGGCGGCCACACGAGGAAGTTGGCGTTGGTGCGGTCAATGAGGTTCCGCGAGATCTGAAACACCTCCGTGCGCGTCTTGCACTCGGCAATCATGGCCGGCTCAGCCACTGTCAGGGAGCCTGCAGGAGGGGAACTGGGTCAGGAGCCCATGGCTGGAGAGCTCTCTGAGCCCCTGCCACCCACTTTTTTTTTTTTTGGCAGAACCGAGGATTGAACTCATCACGCCTAAGAGCTGTCTCCCCGGCCCTGCCACCCTTTTATGACAAACATCCATCTTCACTCTGCTAGGGCTCCAGTCACTGAGGTACAGAGAAACTGAGGCTCAGAGAACCTACCCATGTCACAGATGGGGCAGTGAAGCTAAAGGACCTCTTATCTCTGGGCTTTGGTTTACAGTTCTGTGAAATTGACTGAATTTATTGGAGCCTCCAGGGGTACAGTGAGAAACAGATGAGAGCAAAGCTTTCTATTTAGGCAATGTTATCAGGGGCACACACCGAGACTGGGTACACGGTCCTGGCTGGCTGAGCCCTGAGTGTGGGAGAAGGGAGCCTGGGGCTGTCCTGAAGTCAGATCCTCTTTTTTCACCCCCTTGGCTTCTTTCCAAACTTTGGGAGACCACTACTGGGACTCTGGGGGCTTACCCAGGCTTCTCCTCCCGCGAGATGAGCCTTCAGCCTCACGTCCTGAGTGGGCCCGGGTCACGTTCAGGTCCAGCTCAGTCCCATCTTCATCTGCAGGACAAAAAAGATGCCGATCTGCAGGGCTAGCCCATGACTGTGCACAGGGCTCCCATGGGACTACGGGCAGCGTGAGGACTGTACTTTGCACCCCAAGAACATCCCCTCGGCATTCCAGGGGAGTCGAGGGGATGAGAAAGGCTGCCCAGGAAACCCCAGGTGGCCATGCTTGGAAGTGGTGGGGTCTGGCTGCATCTTTGGGGTGCCTCTACCCCCACTCTGGGTTCTTCAGCCATATTTTTGGCTAGAGCCCATATCCACGGAGTTAAAAATAATCCTTCCCCTTTGCTACTGTAAGTGAACCCTTCTCAGCCTCTAGGGTGGGGCAAGGCCCCGGCACTGCAGCAGGCCAGTTCCCAGTGCCCCTCGGCCCAGCGTTCCCATAGGAAGTGCTGAATGGAGAAATTCCCAGAATCCCCAGGGGGGCAGCAGGCCCTGATCACAGCCCCTCTGGAGCCCGGACAATGGCTTTGCAGGGCTGGGGAGAGAAAGGGCGGAGGGGCAGGGGTGGTAGCAGAAGGCGGAAGAGAGGCTGGTGACCCTGCGCCACGTTCCCTGCTAGGCTCCATTCTCAGCTTCTGTCTCCTTCTCTCCCCTTCTCTAAGCTCTGTAGGCTGGACAGCTCTCACCTTAGTGCCACCAGTGCCCCTTGAGGACACCCTTCCTGGCTAGAGATGGTGGTTAGAGCTGCCCACTGGGAAGTGAGACTGGGGAGCAGGCTTTTTTTGGTAGGAACTGGGGCTTGAACTTAGGACCTTATGCTAGCCAAGCAGACACTGCCACTGAGCAAGCCTCCCCCTGCCTGTGTGGGGGAGGCTTTGAACTTAAGCTTAAGGGTGGACCTTCTGTCTGTCAACTCAGGGGTCCTGGGGACAAACCCAGGCCATCTCCCCTGACACCAACAGCTCACACCCTCTTCCAGCCCATGTCTTGTCAAAGACAAAGGCTCCTGCAGGCTGCAGTCCATTGTCTGGGACCCCACGGGATCCTGTTTGGAGAAGACCGTCCTGCAGTATAGCCTGTGACTAGTCGACTTCCGCTGGACGGCTCCCACGTCAGTGTGTCTGTCTGTCCCTCTCCCTTCCTTTCTCCCTGCCATCTCTGGAATGTCCCTGGTGGGGAGGAGATAGGGGAAAAGATGGGCTTTGTGGAAAGGTTAAGTTGATTAGGAAAAAATAGCCCCATGACTGCTTCGAAACAGGCCCACTATTGAAAAGCTCACGTCTGAGATCCTGACCCCCACAGGGGTGTGGAGGGCCCAGCCGAGGGTGGTGGGGATCTTGGAAAGAAATGGCAGAAAAGCTAAATTTGGAAGTTGCCCCATTGTGTGGCCAGGGTTGGCTAGTCGGGCACCGGGTGGGGGTGGTGGGAGACACTGGGTGGGGGCCCTGGTACACAATAGGTGGGCCCAGCTGGGGCCCCTCCTGCCTGCCTCACCGCCCCCCAGCACAGGCAGGATTGAAAGGGCCCGGGAATGCTTTTGAGAAGGAGCCAGGGGCCCAACGGGGAGAGGAGACAAAGGCAGGAAATGCTGTTCCCCGTAGATAGCGTCTGGGCAAGGATTACAAAGTGACAAAGAGACAGAACCCCAGAGGGAAGGGGACCCGGGGGTGCAGGGGGTGCTGACCGGGGCTCCAGGGACCAGGCCAGGGGTTAGAATAGAATGGAATTTGCTCTGAAGACAGCGTTTATAAATACATTCCCAGCCCAGCCCGCCGGCCCCGCCACGTGTGTGCCACCAAGCACGTGCCCACTCGCTGAGCTCGCTCTTGGGCACGGGCAGGGCTGCAGGCTGCTCCCGGCCAGGTGTCCCCAAGAGACCTCAAAGACTGGGCTCTGGGCCAGAGGAGCAGGGAGAGGGTTCCCCAGGCACCGTCCTGCCTGGCCATGCTCACACCTGGATAGACACTCAGCAGAGCCCGCCCTGCCCCAGCACCCCACCCTTTGCACCCAGCCAGAGCCATATGCAGTGCTACCATTGCACCCCGGGTCCCAGGTACTGACTCATCTGCCTCTCAAGTCTGTCCTGGGCAGGTGCAGATGGCCCTCTCTGCAGTGCAGGGGGTGACTCCAGGCCCCTAGCTGTCTGGATGTCCAGGAAGGGCCAGCCTTGCCCTGCCCCTCCCAGGTGCCCTAAGGCCCAGTGGAGGCAGAGTGCTGGAAGATTCAATTTACCTACGGAGTCTCCGTGCAGCAGGCGCTGGAGGTCATCAAACGAGCGGATGGATTGGTCACTCAGCATCTCATAGAGTTCCTCAGGAATGGGGTCCCCCTGCCAGGCAGACACCATGGGGCTGTGTGAGTGGGGTAGAAGGAGGAGGCTTTTTCTCAGCCACCAACTTTCTCCATGGAGCAGGCAGGATCTGGGCTGATGACCACCAAGAGCTTAGGGACCTGAATCTCGGGGACCTGAACCTCTGAGACCCAGCTCTGAAACAACCCTGACTCCAGCCTGCAGCCAGGAACCCCAGTCTGCTGCCGGCTAGACAAGACTGTCAGCATCCTCTTTTCAACTAGACTACCAGACCCAGGGAGGCTCCAACAACCCAATTCCTCTCTGCTTCTGCCACATCTGACAGCAGAGGACAGCTGATACGTATCACAGGTGATCTAAGGATTCCCATTCTAAAGATGAGAAAACAGAGGCTCCATTGGTGAGTACCCTCTGCCCAGAATCCTACAGTTCATCATACAAAAGCTCACTGAGCCCAAACCTTTGTGACAACAGAGCCTGCACCCCAGCCTCCTGCAGTCCTATGGTCAAAGGAGGCCACATGTGCCAGCCATGCCCATGTAGACTCTCACCCAAAAGAGAGGAGGGAATCCTCAGATCCAGCCAGGAAACCTGAAAGCTTACCCATGCCCATGCTCAGCCAAACCCTATTTTTAGAGCCCCTCTGGCCTGTCACCAAACACACTTGAAACTTAATAAGCACTTTTAACAGGCCCTGTTTGGAGCCGGGCTTCCTCCAGGGAAACCGCAGGTCCTACAATAACATGAGAGTGGCCTGATAGCAAGGTCCCTGTGCATCCCTGTGATCCTGGGAGACCCAAACGCCTGGGGCCAACAGTCCTGAGAGGAAGAAGAGGGCACAGGAAACTGCGGCCACCGCCCAGAGGCCCAGCCCTGACACACCGCACACATTCAGGCAAAGTGCTCAGGGCCATGTGGCCTGGGGAGGCCAGAGGGCACCAACACGGGGGCACACCACACTGCCTCAGTTGCCCTGGACTGAGAGGAGGAGGCCTTGCCCTCCTCTGTTCCCTGACCACCCCAGGGACGAGTCCGGAAGCGAAAGTTGAGCTCCTGCTGCAGCAGCAACGGAGGGGTGCTGCTCTCACTGCCTGGGGCAAGGGGGTATCTCAGTCCCCCAAAGCTATGTGGGTGCCTCTGTGCGACTCTGGCCTCCCACAGTGGGCTGGAAGCTGTAAGAGCCAGGGCCAGGGTGGACAAGACCCTTGTGAAAGCTCCTTTTCTGAAATCCCTCCTCAATTGTGGCACTGGTAGCTCCCTTGGCACCTCAGGCCACTGCAAGGCTGGGGGAAGAGAGGTGGGGCTGAGATCTGGGCTCTTGCCTCCGTGTCCCCAGTTGTACCTCTGGGTGGGATATGCAGGTCAGAACACAGATGTTGGCCCAGCCTGACTTTCTTCCCTCAACCAGAAGAGACCAAGAGCAGGCACCCAATCCACAGGACAGAAGGTTGGCAGCCAGTGTCCAGGGAAGATCAGGGGAGGCCACTACCCTGAATTTTGCCACACAGAACTGACAATCTGCTGAACACTATTACCAACTGCTGTGTGACCTTGGGTTAGTCACTACCCCTCTCTGATCCTCACTCTCATCTGTCCATTAAGGGGGTTGAAAGATATTCCATTTGATTCTAATGCTGCCTGGGGGTGGCAGTAGGGGCAGAGGAATGACAAAGTGGAGGTGCCCAGCCTGGCCACCCTAAATCACTCCCAGGAGGAGAATAAGGAGTGTCTGGAGTAATGATTCAACTGGGTGGGGCCCAAAGAGCCAAGATCTGCACACACTGGAGCTACTTCGGCTGCTTGCTGGGGCGGAACAAGCAGAACCTGACCAGGACCACTAGGACCCATGAGGAAAAGGAGCCAACTTGTGGGAAGTTGTTCAGGGCCTGGAAGGCTGAATGGAGAAAAGCCTGGGGTGGAGACTGGTGTGTGTGAGGGGGTATTGTGCACACAGTAGGTGCTCAATAAATGCTGGCAAAATCAACACAGGACCCTGGGTCTCTCCAGTATGATTCTCCTGCCCCAGGCCAGGATGGTCCCATGCCTGCTACTGTGACCAGGCCCTTTGGTACCCAGCATTCACCCCGAATTCTCTGGACTGGACAATACAATACCGCGACTCATATTCACTAGCCACTGACCACAGCCAGCCGCTGGCTGAGTAAGATACAAAACAAACTGCCAGTTCTAAAAGGCGGGCACTATTTTTTTTTTTTTAAAGCCAGGGCCTCACTATGCAGCTCAGGCTGGCCTTGAGCTCACTTTGTAGTCCAGGCTGGTCTCGACCTTGAAATGATCCTCCTGCCTCAGCCTCCCGAGGGCTGGGATTACAGGGGTGTGCCACCACACCCTGCCTGGCTGACTGGCACTATTTTTATCTCCATCTTCCAGATGTGACAACTGAGGCTTTGAGAAATTAAATAAGCAGCCAAAGGTGTAGATGACCGGCTGGGTCCTTCCCAGGCCCCAGAATGCACCCCCTATTTTGCCCCAATGCCGCTGCTCTTCCATTCCAATGTCACTGGTCCTGGGCACCATCAAGGCCCCTGTCAGCTCTTTACTCCCATGGCAAGATAAATAACAGTCATAAGACACCGGCAGGGTCTGAAGACATTTTGGAGGCCACAGCGAAGGTGGGTACTGGCTTCTAGAGAGCAGAGGCAGGAACGCTGCTCAACATCCTGGTGCAGAACCGTGCTGTACAATAAAGCCTTAATGGTCCCAAGTATCAGTAGCACAGGGGTTGGGAAACCCTGTGTGACAGAGGTGGGCAAGGGAAGCCTGGCCCCTCGAGGCAGATCTTTTAACCATCAAAAGTCTGACCACCTTCTTGGAAATGGGGCTAGGAACACCTCGTCTGTGTTACTGCAAGGCAAAATCGCATGCAGCAGGGAACCCAGCAAATAATGAGTGCTTTGTGAGTTGTCACTGTCACCGTGACTCCATCTGTCAGCATGGCACTCTTGAGGGCAGCAGCAAGTGGCACAGGTGCCCTGGGACATTTTCAAGGATGTCCGTGGGTGGATGGAGAGCTGCATGACCACGGGAGGGTGCGTGACTGAACTGTTCATTGTGCTGAGCCACAGGAAATGGCACCCTGGTCCCACTGACATCAGCTGGTCTTGCGTGGGTTGAAGGATCCCTTCCGGGCGGGACTGGGGGCAGTGACAGGGAAACAGCCAACCCATGGTCAGCTCCAGGATGCAATGCCCCGGGGACCCTTGCAGGACACTTGCTTAGAGTCAGAACCAGAACCCCTACTGGGAGGCAGGGAGCGAGCATCTCTACCCTGGTTTTCCTGGCCACAGGTACTGGAGGTCTCTAGGTGGGCACCACAGACAGAAGAGCTCAAGATCCTGAAAAAGCTGCCCGAAATCCCAGGTCTGGGGCTGCTGGCAGGGTGAGGGCGTGGTAAGGAAGCAGTTGGGGCAAAGCCAGCCCTGGGAGCCAAGGCAAACAGCCTGCTCCCCACCCCACCCCCAGTGCCAGCTGCAGGAAGCAGGAAGGGCACCAGCAAGTGTCAGGCCAGGTGAGTTACCTGCTCCCAAGCAGGCTGGAAGATCGAAGGGGTTCAAATCCCATCCTCCACCTGGGCACACACATGAGAATGCACACTGGAGTGAATACATGCATGCGCGCGCGCACACACGTGCGTACACACACATACACACACACACACACTCCCCAGCAACCAGGGGCGGTGTGTGCAGCTGGCAGAGAGAGAAGTTGACAGGGAGGCCTGCCTGCCTGGGACTCTCCGGCCTTATTTAGAGCGGATGCCAAAGCCAAGCCCGTGAAAAAGTCCTCACCAGGCAGACCACACAAGCAATTTTGCACCAGCTTTTCCCACCAGCAGCTCCCTTCCTCCGGGCTCCTGGGACTCTTGCTCAGCCTCCAGGATCCAGCAGCTGAGCCCAACCCACCTCCCCACCTCTTGCTAGAGGAAGAAAAAACATCAGATCAGGAAAGAGCTCAGGAGCAGCAGCCAATCCTGGCAGCTCACAGCAATCACTGCCCCCGCCCCAATTCTCAGAGCAGGTCACCACATCCCTGGAACTCTTGGCTGACCCAACCTGCCTCGTCTGTTTTAGGTGGCAGAAACCAAGGCCCAGCTAGAGAGACACAGCCTAACTTTTCTTTCTGTGTCTTCCTCTCTCTCCTTTCCAATCCTGACAGTCCAGGTCCCAAGACAGAGGAGGAACACATGCATGGCTTTGCATGATGGGGAGACCTTGGCAGATGGAGCCAGCAGGAGGGCAGCACTCAATGCCCAGGCCACACTTCCTATTCAACTTCCAGGCACCAGAGCAAAGCACCCTAAGTGCAGTCTGCAGTCCCAAGGAAGAAGACAATGAACAGCAAAATCAACCAGAAAATGAAAGGAGAAGCCATAGGAAGAACAGCTGAAAGAGGGGAGAGAACACTGCCAGAGCCTTCCAGTACACACCTTGAGTCGATCTCCCAAACACACTTCCTGGCTCTTGCATCAAAGCCTCCAAATGCTGTTTGACCTTGACCTTGCACATTGTGGGGGTGGGGTGGAAGGGTGCCAGCCAGTTGGTTTCCCATCCCCTGAGGCCTTCAGCAAACCAGGAAGAAGCTGGGTAGTTAGAAGCAGTGGGGCCCCCACCCAGCTTCCCGGCAGAAGGGTGCTCAGACAGAAGAACATCACATGATAGTGGGAGTCACCTTCCCGGAAGCCAGCTCAGCACATGGGGATGGGACCTCAGCCACCTCTGCAGACCCTCCACTGACCCCACCCCACAGCTCCCATCCTCCTTCCCAGCTGCTGAGGCTGCCCTCCGACTCAGTACAAGCATGCCCAAGGCCATGCATGGGCAGCTCCGGGCCAGTCCCTGCAGCAAGCCCTCTTTCTGGGTCTCCCAGCACTGGTGACCAGGAGGTGGTTCTTGTATCCCCCTGTAGGATCCTTTCCCCGGGGCTGCAGAAATTTGTGCAGGATTATTTTTAAAAAGTGCTTCACAAATTGTAAAGCTGTAGGTACAATTGCCAGGCCCTGCAGGGTGTGGTCCAGGCTGCTGGGACTCATGTAAGAATAAAAGCTGAGTTTCTGCATCCTGGCCTCCACCCCAAACGCACACAAGAGGCCGTGTGGGAGAGGAGGTGCTAGGGGAAGGGGGTGGGGGTCCCAAGTACCAGGATCAGTTGAGAGGGGAACAACCCGGGGTGGGGACAACCTCAACAGTGGCCCGCTGCATCCCTGCTACCCCGGAGTCCCAAGAGGGCTCCTCCAAAGGACACATGCTCAAGACAGACCCATGCCCTTCAGTTAAATCCACGCCATTTTCAACCACAAGGGAGTGGTTTTAAAAAAGCAATCTAGAGTAAGGTTTGAGGGGAATAAAGCTGCTCCGACCAGGCAAAAAGAGAATAAGGGCTGGGGACCTAGCTCAACGGCACAAGCACTTGCCTGGAAAATGCATGGTGCTGAGTTCAATTCCCAGTACCAAAAAAAAAAAAAAAGGAGAAACGATAAATGACTGCTGTAGTGCCAAGATCTAATAGGAGAGTTCTGTTCCCTCCTAGGACCCAGGGAGGGAAATGGGGTCGTTACACAGGCGGCGAAGTGCCATGGCCCACCTGTTGCGTGGGGGCGGGCACCTGGCGCTGCGTGTACCAGGGCGGTACGTGCTGTGTGCGTGCGTGGGTGTGCGCGCACGTGTACTCGGTCCGCGTGTGCAGCGGCCATGCGTGCGTTCCGGTGCGATGCGCGCGCGTGTCCCGCGTGTGCACGGGTGTGGCGGCGGCGGCGGGCGCGCGACCTGGCCACAGTAGTGCGTGCCCGTCGCTCTGCGCGCCCGCCCGCCGGAGCGCACCATCGCCTCCGGCCAGGAGTGTGCATGCGTGGGTGAGTGAGCGAGTCGGGGGCCGGGCGGGGTGGGCTGCGGAGAGCAGCCGCGGGGCGCCGCCGTTCCCAGGACGCCCTGGCACCGGGCCAGCCCCCAGGTCCCGCAGAGAGGCGGCAGCTGGAGGCGGCCTGCCCCCTTTCCCAACAGCTGGCAGCGACCCGGGTGGCTGCGAGAGAGGCTGGGAAGCGGCGTCGCGAGGGGCCTGCAGGCGGCCGGGCCAAGCCCCGCGTCCTCCCTCACGGGTGCTGGCCGCAGGGGGCGGCCGCGGAAGGGCGGGGCCCCAGGGCGGGCGGCCGGCGGCCCTCGAGGAGCCCCGAGAACAAAAGGAGACGGAGACGGCTCCTCCGTGGTAAAAACAACCTGCGCTGGCGGCGGCCCAAGGCCTGGCCGCAGCCTCGTAGCCCTGCGCCTTAACCCCTTCGCCGCCGCCTCGCGTTTCCTGCGTCTGGCCGGAGGCCGAGAGCGCTGGCCCTCACGGGACCTGCCAGGCGCAGGCTGCGGGCGGAGGCGGGACGGGACCCGGGCGCGCCGCGCTCCCGCCGCCCTCGCCGCCCGCACCTAGCGTCTGCCCGGCCCCGCCTCCTTTCCACCTGGATTCCGGGCAGACTTGCCAACTCACTGCTACGTGAGGCCAGGAGGGGTGGCGGCACCGATCCGACCTGATCGCTCCGCAGACGTTCCCGCGCCCCACCTCGCTGTCAGCCAGGTTTTGGCAGGCGGCGCGCTCCCTCCTTGCGGGGGAGCGAGGGGCGCTTCGCTTCCTCTCGCGGGGCGCGGGCGCAGGTACTGTGGGCCTAGGGCATACTCCGCCCTGACAGCAAGGTTTCTAAAGAGTCCTGGGTCCTCCTGTCACCCCAGGCACCCGACGCCCACCTGAGTCTGTCTGCCTCTTTCTTTCCGGGACCCCCGTTCCCAGGCCACAAACAGCTTCTGGGGCATACTCGAGTGTCGAGCATGCTCTGCGTGGCCCAAAGTGCCCAGCCCAAGCCAGAGTAGAAACCAGGGCAAGACCCGAACCTTCGCCAGAGGTCGGCAATGGATGCAAGTGTGCGCGAGCTCACACCTCCCGAGCAGGGTGGGTCTTGGTCAGACTCGAAGGCCACCTTGGAGCCGACTTGGGTTTGGGAGGACTCGCTGCCTTCCCCACCTAGGAAGATGATTCTGGGGATCCTGAGGGAGGGGATAGGACTCCCCACCCACCCTAGACGCTAGGAAGCTCCAGGATCTGGTTCGTCCCTTGGGAAAAAGAGCTGCCCCGGCCGCGGCCCCTGCCCCTTAAGAGTCTGGCACCTCCAGACCTTGTCTCCCAGCCCTTGGGGTCACCCAGCGCCCAGCGCCCGGTCCTCGAGCTGCAGGAGTCCAAAGTTCACAGCAGGAGAAGAGGGGGCGGCCGGGCGTGGGGGTGGGTGAACGCAGAGAACCAGCCCCGGCCGCCGTCACAACTCACCTCGGCGCTGACCAGACGCAGGTAGCAGCAGAGAGACAGGAAGAGCGCCCAGCAGCGATTCATGCCGACTCCGGGCCCGGCCCCGCGGGGCCCCAGACGCGTAGACCGAGCGCGCCGCCCCCGCGGCCAGGGTGGGGGGCTGGGGAGGAGGGTGGGCTCCGCACGGGTCCTCGGTGATCAGGAGCTCAGGCCGCTGCAGCCGCCGCCGCGGCTTACCCGCATGGCCCCTGGGCGCCGCCGCCCCCGGCCCGGGCTCCGTTGCTGGGGGGCTGGGGATGACCAGGGTCCGAGACTGCTACCTGGGCGGATCCCGAGCCCGCGCGAGCATCCACGGCCGGGGGGCTGCGTCGCGAACCAGCCGAGGCGTCTAGCCGTATGGGGGCGCGCAGAGTACTCCAACCTCCAAGAGGAAAAGGAACACACCAGCCAGGCGATGGTTCGTCTTCACTCGCCAGCCGAAGGCGTTTTCCTCTGCCCGCTGGCTTAGCTTTTTTGCAACATTTTCTGGAGAGGCCCCCAAATCAGAAAGCTCAGAGCTGGTCACCTCTAAGCCCAAATCTCCCCAAAAAAACTTTTTCCAAAGTTGTCTTTGCAGCGGCGGCTTGAGCACCCGGGCAGGGAGAGGTGCAAACTCCCGCCCGGGCCGGGTTGGGGGCGGGAGCGTGTGCGCCCTGGCGCAGGGCCCAGGCGGCGGGCACGGCTGCTCGGCGCGCGCGGCGTGCCCGTTGCGCGCACGGCCGGGCCGACAGGTGGACGCGGCGCGAGTCGGTCGGTCAGTCTGCCCGCGGGCTCGCGGCTCTGGGCGTCCTCTGCGAGCTGCAAGCTGCGGCTGCTCCGGCTTTTTCTTTGCAACGAGACTGGAGGGTGGGCTTTTTTTTTCCCCTCTCTCTCTCTCTCTTTCGCGCGTGTGTATGTGTGTGTGTGCGCAAAATATCTCTCCCTCTCAGGAATGAAAGATGGGCGCTGGCGGCCGGAGGGGAACCTTCAGGAAGGCAGCGGGAGGTGGGGAGGCCTCGGGCACGCAGGGAGGCAGGCGGGCCGCTCCCGACTGCAGGAGAAGTTGCCACCCTTTCAGCTGTTCCGGCCTTTATAAAGGAGAAGGGAGAGTGCGAGAGGTGGGTGGAGACAGCCTTTCCTCTTCTGGCCCAGAGTCAGCGGTAGGAGGGGGGCAGAGCTGAAGGAGAGCCTGGGGCTAGGGCGGGGCGCCTAGGGGGTCTCTGAGAGCCCTGGGTAGCCCCGCTGTCAGCCAATCTGGCTGCTGGGAAAGATGAACTGGGAGGCCCCACCGCCCCACCCATTAGCACAGTGACCACCACAGGTTAGGTGCTCACGTGGTTGGGGGGTGTCACGGGCTGGGCTAGGAGGCCAAGCCTTCCTCTGGAAGAACTCAGGCTCTGCAACCTGACAGCTTGAATTCAGGTCCTGTCTAGCCAAAGTAGCTGGGTCACCTTGGGCAAGTCACTTTCCTCCTGTGCCCCTCCATCAAGCCTCAAAACGGAAGCATGCTTATTGTGTGGATGAAATGTCAAAAGGCTCCAAAAGCATCCGGAGGGAGCCAGCCAAAAGGTGAACGCTCCAAGCCACACAGCCCTACCGTTCAGCTGCAAGCCAGTCCCTCTCCTCCTCCTAGCTGGTTGCCTGGCACACAACAGACTCCGCCAGCATAGGCTGAATCGGAATTTGTGGAACTGCAGAGTCACACAAACCCCCACAACACTGCAGCATCCTGGCAGGGCTGCCACCATGATCTCTCCGTCTTCTCCCTGATGTTTACTACCTCTCTCGGCCCCCAACTACAGGCCCGGGGCCTGCCCACCCACACCAGCATTCACATGGTTAACGCCTTCCACTCCCAGCTCAGGGAGCTGCCGTGTCCCACCCTCCAGCAGTCACACTGTCACAGTGACATAGTCACACGCAGGCACACTGAGCCCAGCACCCACCACCAGACCCGCAGGCTCACTGCGTCGCCCAGTCTCCTGGCTTTAGGGCACCTTGATCTCATTCGTTTACACTGTCTCTGTCACCTGCCTTTTGTACCCATACGTGTCCCTTCAGAGTGCCAGGCTTTTCTCCCATGGGCACACCCTGAGCTGTGCTGAAGCTTCTTCATGGTCCTAGCTGGGGCGGAGCTGGCTGGGAAGGACTTCCCAGGTGGCCTCTTTACCAACAGCCACAGACACCCACACTCCTCCTCCCCCTCCAGTGGGGGCACTCTGGTCAGACCCTGGTTCCAATCCCAGTGTGTCTCTGGGAGGACGTTTTAACCTCTTAGTGTCTTGCATTCTTCATCTCTGAGTTAGAGATGTGGCTGTAGTTGGAGGCAGGCAGGGATTTCAAAGAGACGTGGGAAATTTTTAGGGTGATGGAAATGTTTGCTGTCTTTGTGGCAGTGGTGTCACAGGCGTCCCCACATATCAAAACAGGTACGTGCCATGTATTGTGCCTCAGTTCAGTTGTAAACAGTGAGACTTTCCGACCGTGATAATTCAGGCCCTGCCCTGGACAGACCTGAGTAGACAGGCACACCAAGCAGACAGAGTGACAGGCAAGGTCAGGGAGGGTCACAAACACACTATATCTGATGTCTAAAGATTTAGAGGTTAGAAAGCCTTGTCCCATCAGACAGCCTGTGGATCTTGACCTTGACCTGTATCCTTGTGTCTGAGTGGATGCTCATAACTACCATTGCTGCTGCACTGAGCCTGGGGTGGGTGTGTTCTCTCTATGAGGAGCAGCCCATCCATGCTTCTGTGCTGTCCTGTCTCACAGTGGGGAAACCTAGGAGAGAGGGGCCAAGCAATCTGTCCAAGGTCAGATATGACTTGAACCCAGGTGGTCCAGCCTCAGAGTCACATGCTTAGTTAGCCTGTTGGGGTACGCTGTTCCCTGGCAGGTGATATGACAGGCATGAAAATGTGACTTTATTTATACTTATTTTTTGCAGTGCTGGGTGTTAAACCAGAATGTACTTGCTGGACAAGTACATTCTACCACTAGCTGTATCCCTACCTTTTTTAAAATTTCATTTTGAAACACGATCTCACTAAATTGCCCAGGCTGGCTTGGAATTTGTAATCTGCCTGCCTCAGCCTCTGAGTAGCTGGGGTTACAGGTGGGAACCACTGCCCCAGGCTCGCAGTGAGCAGTGTTACCCAGGGCTTCCTTCAGTAAGCTTGAGCACGTTAATACATGTGAATGCGCACTGTTGGTCCCGCCAACAGGCTGGCCCAGCGGGACTCTGTCCAGAGCACTCTAGTGGCACACAGCATGGCTCAGGGATGGGGTGAGGGTGGGCTGAGGCCATTCTGAGTGGCATCATTGAGTACCTACTGTGCGCAGGCCCTGTGTGAAGCACTGCAAAATGGAATGACCCAGTCCTGGCGCTTAGGGTCACAAGTCATTGCAACGGATGCAGATGTCTGCGCAGATAGAGGTGGCCTGATGGGGACCAGCAGAAGCATCAGTGGCTGCCTGGCACCTAAGGCTCAGATGCTGTGAAGAGGGGAACGCTGCCCTGCGCCCTCCCCTTGCAGACAAGCCCTCTCGGAGCACAGCTCTGTGGCTTGTGCTGAGTTTGTAGCTGTCACCTCCTCCAGGAAGCCCACAAGCCTAGCATTCACTCCCTGGGCCCCGCAGCACATTCCAGTGGTCTTGTCTCGATGCTGCTCATCTGTCTGTCTTGTCCTAGACTGCGCTCCTGGTGAGCAAAGGCTGCAGCTCCTTGTGTACATAGTTGCTCAATAAATGTCTGCTGCAGGAAGGAAGAAATGAGTGAATACCTTGCCTGTTTCTCCCTGAGTCACAGTCAGTTGGTACAGAGATTCGAGACCCTTCCTAGAAGGTGGCAGGAGGTGGGGAGGGGTTGGCAGCATGAGATTTTAAACTGGGGCAGCACAGGGGCTTTCAGGACATCACACATACACCCCCAATCCACTTCAGCAACCCAAAGAAGAACATGGAGTGTCAGAGCTGGGGAGGCCCCAGCACATCACTGAGGCATTGTGTTCTGGAGGCCCTGCGGGGGGCCGAGCCCCCATGCAGCCTCCTCCCCGCCCCAGGAGTTCTGAATCAAGCAAGAAAAGCAGCGGGCTGTGGGCTCTGGCTAGGTGCACGGTGGTCCTGCCAGGGCCCAGGCTTTTTAAATAGACTTCTGTGGCATCCAAGGCCCCCGCTGGGAAAATCATCTCAGTCCCCGAATAGGTGTAGGCATCAGACTACGCCAGCAGCAGGCAAGGAAATGCTGCAGAAGGTGAGTCCAGTACCCGGCACGCAAGTCCAGAAGGTGGCAATGTGAAGCGCTGGCCCCGACTGTCCCAGGAAAGTCTCCTTTTCCCACCTGGTAGAGGAGGAAGTGGGGCTGCCATGGCTGCGGCAGGGCGGTCTGGCACGCTCCAGCTGGGGACTGCATGACAGCAGAGCCCATGCTCCACTGCTAGGTTACATGGGGACCACTGGCTGCCCTAACCCCCTGGCTGTCCTCTCCCCCAGCTCACAGAAGGTCTTGCTGTGGATAGAGCACTTCCTGGCTTTTGCTTGGGCTACCTCACAGGCTCCTGGGTAGGAGACTGTTGCCATTATGTGTGCCCATTTTACAGATAGGCAAAGAGAGCGGGAGAGTCTTCTGGTGGGCAGAGATGACCAGGGTGAAAGCCCTGCTCTACCTGCCGGCTAGCCACATAACCTTGGGCAAATTCTGTAACCTTTCGGAGCCTTGGTTTCCTCGTCTGTAAAGCACCGGCACAGTAGCACCCACCTGGTTGGGTTAGATGAGTCAATACCTGCTCAGGGCTGAACGTCCCAAGTGGGCCCTGCACAAATGTCAGTCATCCTTACCACCCCAAGCTGCATGTGCCTGAACACCCATGTGCAACCTTACACACTCCCTTGTCTCTGAGATCCAGAGCCAGGGCTAGGAAAGGGCAGGAGCCTAGAAGGGCTATCTTTACCCTGGCTGGTCATCCTCACACAGGGTCCCCCACCTTGGTGAGGCTCTGGTGGCCACATGGTGAGTTCCAGGGAGACCCCAGGAAGGCAGACAGACAGACAGAACCCAGCCCAAGGCCCAGTGAGAGCAGCCCCCTCTTCATCCTCAGGCCTGGGCTTCATACAAAGGGGTGGGAAGCTTTGTTTGTTTTCTTGGGGCCCAGCTGGTGCATTTTTAGCTCTTCCAGGCTCCAGACAAGGAAGAGGATGTGGGTGTTTGGACGGGTAGCCTGGCCTACCTGCCTGGAAAGCAGCTGGAGTTGGAGGCCAGCCCTCCTGGGGTGAGAGAGCCTGGCCAGGTGGTCTGGGAGGTGAGGGGCCATGGCTCAGTGGCTCCCTGAGGCCCGTCCCAAGTGTGTCCCAACATTCAGTGCTCTGAGGGCCCACACACTGCAGCCACTGATACATCCCTGCAGAAGCCATCAGGATGTCACTAGGAGCCCCGGGTACAAAGTGAAGGCTCAGCCAGACCCAAGCCTAGACCTACTCGGAGGACATCCTGGGCCCCCAGCACTATGACAGTCATGGCAGCCTCCCCTCGGGGCCCGCCCCTCTTCCTGACTCACAGTCCCCTGGTAGAGGCAGGCCCCTGGCAGAGGCCGGACGGTGATTGCCCTTGCCCGGCAAGGACAGGAGGCCTGCTGAGTCTGCTCCACATGCCCTGCCAGCTGCTGCTGTGATCCTGTTCACACTGAGGTTCAAGGTGGCATCCGAGCTCACCCAGCAAAGAAGTGGCAGTGCCAGCCTAGCCTTGGCCCCAAGACTGTGACTCCAGAGCCCACGCTTCCGCCACCTCCCTGCCTCGTGGTGCCTCCCCCTGTGGCCTGGATCAGAGCCGCCTGGCCTTTGGCTTGTCAGGATCGAGCAGCTGATGACTCAGTGGAAGGGCGGCAGGGCTGGGGGTCTTGGTCCTTACCTGTCCCCTCAGGGTAGGAGACTCCCCTGGCATGGGGGGCTAGGTGTGTGTTAGTGCACCTCCCCTCAATCAGGATGTGTTTTGGGGGGTTCTGAGGGTCCCAGAAGGGAGGGGCAGGAGGGAGCGTGGCAGGCAGGTAGCAGGCGGTCCCTCCTGGTGGGGGACCAGCTTGCCAGAGGGAACGATTTGTAACTGCTGGGAACGAGGCAGGCCTGTCAGAAGAATGGGAAGCCAGC